CAACCACAAACACATCCACAAACACAACCACAAACACACAACCGCAACCACAAGTACAAACACACGATCACAAAGACACAACCACAACCACAAACACATAACCACAAAGACACAACCACAACCACAACTACAAACACATAATCACAACCACTACCACTACCACAAACACAACCACAAACACATCCACAAACACACAACCGCAAACACAACTACAAACACACAATCACAAAGACACAACCACAACCACAACTACAAACACACAATCACAAAGACACAACAACCGCAACCACAAACACAACTACAAACACACAATCACAACCACTACCACAACCACAAACACACAACCACAAACACTGGCAGCCAACCCACATGGCAGCCTGCAACAGCTACATCACCACCTATGAGCTTGGATTGATGCCTCGAGCACTTCTTTGCACGGCCTGTCATCACAGCTAAGTATTGAATCTCGTGGAAAGGAAAAAAACAGCAAACAATTTCTTTACTTCGAGTGATCCCCACCATGACATTTCAATTATTTGTCTTGATGCCACAGTGAGGAGCACGTTGCCATAGTCGTCAGTATTGTAGTTCTCGATGTTGCTTGTGGGTCCTCGGGTTGTGTGCTGTGGTTGTGTGCTGTGTTGTGGTTGTGGTTGTGTTTGCGGTCATTCGAATGTGCGAACACCGGACATGATGTACGGCCGCGGAAAACAGCGGAGCACGAAACTCCAACGTGACAAGCGAAAGTGAATGGAGCTTCCACTGTGGCCTGCGTTCAGTGTGACTTTTTTTTGCGCGGGTGGAGACGCCATGTGCGCAGAGGTTGCACAGGTCATCTTGCGCTAGTGTTACGAACCAGGTTGCAGTGCCTGCGTTCAGTGTGACAAGGGAAACTGGCAGTGGCAAGTCTTCATTCACCGAAAAGCACTCCCTCTGGCAAGGGGCAGGTGCTGCAAACGATCAATAGGTTCTCTACCTGGCTCTATCATTGGCTCGCCCATGTTATGCTCATCCGGAAGGATTGTGATGGCAGCTAGGTTGATGCAGTCAACGAAAAGGTAGTGCCCAAGCTTGGTGGCGCTCCTAATGCGGTTGACTCCTCCTCCATTGGCATGGACCCATTGTAGAGAGCAACAGTCTGCAAAAGCTTTCAATACATCCTGGCACCGTTATGCTCTTAAGCAAATGGCATCCGCGAAAAGGCGCTTCGATGCGCACAACGTGCTCGGCATCTTAACAATGCGGAGGTGTTCTGCCAGGCTCGTGCTCCAACTGCGCGTATGCCTGCCTCAACGCTAACATGTCGCATTTTTGGCACTGCTATGAACGCACTGCACAGGATGATCCCCGATGGATTGGCTGGAACTTTGACCGCCTTCGGGATGTCTCCACACGCGCATCCATCGATTCCTCTTTGGTTTGGAAAGCCTCAAAGCAGTCTCGAAACACAATGGTGCAATGTTTATTCTGTTGTATGGCTTCCCAAATGTGCCCTGGGACTGCAGCCACTTTCACCCAGTCGTCCGTCAATGCCGCTCCGGGCAGAACGCAATACCCATGCCTTTACGCGCATGATCCACGTCAGGCACGTGCAAGTTGATGCAGGAACACACACCATTGGTGAGCAGCCTGGCAACATTGTAATATGTTTTTTTCCACGAGTACGGACGCCGTGTGGGCATGGTGCCCAGGTCATCGTTGAAGGGAGGGAAAAACAGCCTGATGGTGGAGAAAATAACAAGAACCACAAACACAACCCAAAAACCAAACAAAAGGCCCAAAGCCGAGTCACCACCATCATGTAGTCTTTCCTCTGTGCTAGGTGAAACAGGTGAGACGAAAAAGAGTGTCTAGAAAGGGGCCTGAATTCACGAACGAAAAGCATATCGGCGCAGGTATGTGCTCAAGCAAAGTCGCAAAAAGGCTTCAAAGGGACCTCACTTCACAACTATGAATGACCAGCGGCCACACCCCAGTGCGGCAAAATCATGGTCACGATTCAGGTCAACACCCCAGTGCGGAGTATCGCAATGCTTCAACGTCGACTTCATCCCTGGCAAGAGGGGCGGCGTACCTATGCGGCATGCCGTGGAAAAGACCTTTCTTTGAACGGGTTGCACTTACAAGTCCAGTGGCATGCTGCCAATCGGCGATCAGTAAGTGGCGGCCATAATCGACGAAAGCCTGCAGGTAAAGATGCGAAAAGGCCCCCCCCGAAGGGAAGTCAGCCTAGCACACATTGGCACTCAAAGGTGCCAAATAGCAAGCAGA